TGCGTGCCAGAGAGAGATCACAGCAGCCAGAGGTTCGCACACAAAAGGGAGACAGAGGGAGAGAGCGCATGAGAGAACAGCTGACACAAAAGCGGCCAGCTGGTATGCGACGTAACTCGAACCCAGCTCCATAGAACACGCGGTGTCAGCAGAACGGAAAGCGTTTTGGTCGAACGGCTATCGGTTACATGGTCTGACCGGCGGCTGACGTGGTCTACATGTGGACATCAGAACGCACACATACAGCTTCCAGCCTGCCTACCGTATGACTCTGCAGATCGAAGGTACGGAGGGTGGCAAACTACTGGGTCTACTGCCCCTCAGGTCAGGGTTACCATGTGGTGTGCGTGTGTCTCACTACTCGTGGCCGGGCTGACAGCCGCTTCGCGGGAAAGGTAAGTGAGCATTACCACCAACAGAGCGAACTTGGAATTGCTGTGTATATGCGTGTGTGCAAATACTGGGTCAGTCACAGAGAGCTTTTTGTGTCTGTTTGTGCAGCAGACATTAGTTTTGAGTCACTACCTGTAGTAGTGGAAGTCGGCAAACATTTAAACACACAAAAGATTTTCTGCAGGCAGCAATAAAAACGATTTGCCTCTTCCGACCGTCTGGATTTATACTGTTGGAATGTTTAAATTGTGATTTGTGAGTTTTGAGGTTGTAAATATGTTCGTAGCGTCTTCATATCCGTGGGTTGCGTACGGGTCAATGAGTCAGTAAAAGCGGGCTTTCTCCTGACCAACCGTATTCCTACAAACGTTTATTTCTTGCGCTGTTCGTTATATGCGTGACTCGAAACTCAGACTATCACGGTTGGGTCAAATAAGTTATTCGATCCTGCCAATCCTCCTATAGCCATGGTTTACTAAAAATCGTGACTTGGAAGGCTGTCAGTTGATGCTTCATACCAGACCATGCCATCAACCTCAGTGTGTTGAGCAGTTGGCCAGTAGACTAGGAATTAAACAACGAAGTCTCTTTCTTACCTCCTGGTTTTTGGTAGTCCTGGTGAGAACTTCAGGTTGGTCAGGTCATGCTGTTGTACGCACAGACGAATTCGACGGCCATGCCAGACACTGTGCCTACCTCACAACAGGTGACTCCCGACTCAGACGGTGGCCTAATGCTGGGGTCGACGGTTCAGTGCGATTTCCTCAAGATAAACAATCTGATGCGATTGAAGCTACCATGGTGCGCTAAATACCATTGCTCGGAAGGTTGCCAGCTGACGGGATATTTTGGAACGCGCAACCAGTCCACTGTGTGCTTGTGAGGAGAGGCATACTAGCGGACTGAGCGTCAGACTGCAATAGC